TTCAAAAATAATCTTTAAATTATATACCCTTCGATGGGTGGAAAAGTTAGATATATTTGGTATTTTATTATAAATTAATATAGATTTCATCTTTCCATAAAATCTGAAATTGGAGTTTTTTGAACAAGCAACTTTAAAAAATTAAACGACTGCATAAGTACTTTTGAGTTATCAAAAAGCCCTCCCAAACACACCCTAAATGTTATAATCTTGGGAAATATTCACATTTTAACAAAAGAGTAAATAATCAAAGAAATTGACGTTTTCATCATATATAATCAAAATCCATGAATTCATGAGGGATGCACTCACGTAGCGGCTGATGGACCGAGCAATGGATTCTCTTTCGTGCTCTGAAACGCGAACCGGCCTAAAGTCGACGTACCAATGCACTTGGTGGAGTTCTCAGGACAATTATTTATGTACATTGAAATGACAAACAGGACAATGTTGACAACAACAACGGTGGGCACAATCCAAGGGAACCATTTCTCGAACGGCTGGTATGGCGGCGGAGGAAGCGGTCGTGGACGGAGGGGGCCACCAACCGGATGTGGATCGGTCTGGAGTGCCTGAATTTTGATCTCGAGCTCCGACTCAGGCGAAGCGTATGGAGAAATCCTCCCCATTATGGCCGGTCGGAGCCTCGAATGGGAAGAAAGGTAGTGGATGATGATTTGATGGTAATTTTGGAGTAACAGAATTGTTAGGACAAAAACGTGTCGTTGAAAATGTACAACGTATCAGGAATTATAGGACTATGGTACTATTTTTAGCATATGTCTATGGAAAGGTTACGAGGAGATTGAGACACACATGCAAGAATCGCTTACTAATTATTTTTTATTATTATTTTTAGGAATGTATAGATTAAAACAGTTAATCTAAAGCTTTGTGAATCATAATACATTTTAATTGAATCTTAGATAGTAAGTAGAAGTGCTACTTGAACTTTTTTGTGTACGATAAGTGTTTTGCTTCTTTCATAAGTTACAACTTTTCAAATATGTACATCATGAAATTGGATGTAGTTACTAATTTATAACATCACCTTCCTCCGACTTATTACCGACAGTCTGTTTAGAGTTCTTAACTGAACGATAACGACTAAACATGAGAGTTCCGCTTGTTGTGAG